ACAAAATGACATCCAGCAGGCCACTGGTGTGAATGTCTCTGACCAAACAATCAGAAACAGACTTCATGAGGGTGGCCTGAGGGCCCGATGTCCTCTAGTGGGCCCTGTGCTCACTGCCCAGCACCATAGAGCTGGATTGGCATTTCCCATTGAACACCAGAATTGGCAGGTCCACCACTGGCACCCTGTGCTTTTCACAGATGAGAGCAGGTTCACCCTGAGCACATGTGACAGACATGAAAGGGTCTGGAGAAGCCGTGGAGAACATTCCTCGCCTGTAACATGGTTCAGCATGACAGTCTTGGTGGTGGGTTAGTGATGAGGTCAGACCTCCCGGACTCTTGTAGTCCCAATGTTATTAAAGGCCGCTGCCATGGAGTGTAATGGAGGATCAGGGATTAAAGGTGCTGATGTAGGCTGAGCATGCTGAGACTTGTAGTGGAGGTGCTGCCTGTCTCTGTCTGTCTGTCTGTGGGCAGATCTGAGGTTGCTGGTTGAACCCTGCAGACATTCTGTGATCTCTTAGTTCAGGACGGTGTCATTGAACGAGATGGAATCCTCTCTCCGCTCACACAGGGATGGGACTTGGCCCAGGACCAGCACTGACTCAGGGCCAAGCTATGGAGGTGGGGGTGGGGGGGTCTGAGGCCGCTGCGGTTATATATTTCCCAGCATGCTCTGCAGTGCTGTCTCATTCTCTTTACAGGATGTTATCTGTGTGCGATGTATGCAAATAATAGAGAAGAAGCGTGTTGGTGCGTGTAGTGTCTTCTAATGGATTCTAGAGAAAGGCGTGTTCTAGGAGGGACTGAGCACCGGCGTAGGCTATACTCCGGGGACTGTATCCAAACTTTGGTGTCACACCCTGTGATTGGTCATGTAGGGTGTCAGATCAAACCGGATGATACACAGCCACATCAATCCAACTGACACACCGAGATACTGAAGAATGAGAACTAATATCAGCTGACTGTCGCATTTTGTTACAATGTATCCTCTGCATTACGGAATGTATCTTCCTCTGTAATCTGGATGGAACCTTGGAGGGCTCGTTCACACCAGCTGCGATGCTGAAATGCGTGCGCTTGTTTCACCGCACAAAAACACGCTGACTTTTGCATTCGTTTCTCGGCACCTTTGCGTACTCAGCAAAAAGCATGCAAGTTTCCATCTGTCAAAACGCATGGTACCGCAGTACCATGCATTCTGGTGCAGCGCAATTTTCATTTTTGTGGTGTGAACTGGCCCTTGGTGTCATTTTTTTAAATAAAAGCAGAACACGCTGTATTTTTTCTGCACAGAACTGTACTGAAACACAGTAAACTGCATCAAAGCTGCACCGGAACTGCGTGTGGTGTGAACTGGAAGCAAAAACGTATCTGGAATGCAGCCGGAGGGCGCTTTTGTGGCGTGAACTGGCCCTTGGGGGCGTTTACACCAGGAGGTGCTTCTGAGTGCATGCACTTTTTTTTTTTTTTTTTTTTTTTGCACATTCCACACCCATAGGACAGCCCATTGAAATGAATGGGCTGCTCTAAAATGCAGCACACAAGAACGCACAAAAAAAAAAAAAAAAAACGCATTCACTCAGAACATGCAAACTTCATGGAGGTAGTGCAGAGATTCAAACAATCCCAGTGCTGCTAGGCAGAAGTGCTAACCACTTAGCCTCAGTGCAATGTTTATTTATGTGCATTTTTATGCATTTTCATGTATGCTTTTTTTTTTTTGTAGGAAAAGACTTGTTGTTTAACACACAACCCTGCCAAAAAGCACCGAACACTCATGTATAAGTCTATGGGACCTAAAAAAGCACTATGCAGCAACAAAAAAGGCACCTTTTCAAAAAGCAGTGTAGCATGTTGTAGTGATGTGAATGGGCACCATAGGGAATGATGTGCTTTTCATTGTCTTGCATTGCAGTGTGACGACCGACGCAAGAGAAATTGTGCTAGTGCAAATGGGGCCCAAAAAAAAAAAAACCACAGCAAAAGACAGTAGTACAGGGGGTGATAGGTTCACACTGCTTGCAGTTCCTGTTAAAGCAGGGGCTGTGTGGGGTATTGATTTTTTAAAATGATTAATTCTTGTGAGCCAATCAGGATAAAGATTAGGCTCAATGCACACGGGGCGTTTTTAATACACTGGTAATGCTAGCTGTGTAAAGTCACATTAAAAATGTGAGTTTCTCAGTGTTTTTTAGCTTTTTGCATTAGCGTTTAGCCGTGTTTGAATTCACACTGATGCGGCGCGGAATTTGCAGCGTTTTCTGTGCGAATTCTGCACCGCATCAGAATCGCACCCTGTTCCTGCGAACCGCTGCGAGTGTGTATGCTAAGTTAACACCCGGAATCGGATTGCAGATGGTGAGTACCCATGCCATCTGATTCTAGTGCGGACCAAAAAAAGGGTCCTCCACCTTTTTGGTGCAGTGCGATTAGAGCCATACAAAATGTATGGCTCCAATCGCACCGCACACAAATCGCATGTGATTTGCACAGGAATGCGGTGCGGTTCCTGTGCGAATCACATGCTATATACCGCACCACACATATGTAAACCAGGGCTTAATGAAAAAAAAATATATATTTATTTTTTTGCTCAAAAAAGTCCATAAACGCTGGTTTGCCACGTTTTTCAGTGCTGCAGCTTTTTTACAGCTAAAAAAAACTCCTCCAGAAACCCACTAGTTCGGAGATTTTTTTTTTTTCTAGCCAAAAAACGTTGATTCCAGTCTGTGTGTACGGACACATAGGATAACATGCTGGGGAGTTTACTGGCTGTAGAAAAAAAAACACTAAAAGGCAAGAACAGCCGCTGTAAAAAATATCCCGTGTGCAGGAGGACTTACAGGCTGTTCTTTATTTCTGGTGGTGAAATTGTAAACGCAAAAAGTTTGCGATTTTCAGGTTTTGCAAATTCTTAGGATTTGCTGTGCAAACTTGAACCTCATCCCTACTGAGAGAAGCCATCCAGCAGGAGGCTAGGAATGGAGCCAGCGGTGCTACGTGACAAGCAACCAGGACGCTGGGAAATCTTTGATGTATTGTGCTGTTGAAAATTCCCTGCAACTTTTTGGTATAGTTCCTGGAGGATGAATCGGTCCTCATGCACTCTGGATGTTTTTACAGCAGTTTGTTTTTGGCTTTTGATGTTTTTTTTTCTACAGCCAGTAAACTCCCCAGCATGTTATCATATGTGTCCGTACACACAGACTGGAATCAACGTTTTTTTGGCAGAGAGCCTTACAGGGGATTGGTTGCAGCAATTTCCCTCACTGTGCTGATCACCCAGCTGCCTGAGCCCTGTACAGGAGGTCCGGTGGTACCCCCTTATCCACAGTCCTGCTTCCCACTGACCCCCATTGTAAGGAGCATTTTTCCCACTGATCACCAGTGTAAGGAACATACTTCCCAATGGCCACCAAGGTAAAGAACATTATTTCTACTGACCACCAATTAAGGAATATTCTTCCCGCTGATCACCAATGTAAGGAGCATTCTTCCCACTGACCCCTAATGTAAGGATCATTTTTCCCACTGACCACCAATGTAAGGGACATTCTTCCCACTGACCCCCAATGTAAGGGGCATTCTTCCCACTGACCCCCAATGTAAGGAGCATTCTTCCCACTGATCACCAATGTAAGGGACATTCTTCCCATTGGCCACCAATGTAAGAAACATTCTTCCCACTGACCGCCAATGTAAGGAGCATTCTTCCCACTGACCACCAATGTAAGGAGCATTCTTCCCACTGACCACCAATGTAAGGGGCATTCTTCCCACTGATCACCAATGTAAGGGCATTCTTCCCACTGATCACCAATGTAAGGGGCATTCTTCCCACTGATCACCAATGTAAGGGGCATTCTTCCCACTGATCACCAATGTAAGGGGCATTCTTCCCACTGACCACCAATGTAAGGAACATTCTTCTCCCTGTTCACCAATGTAAGGAGCATTCTTCCCACTGACCCCCAATGTACGGAGCATTCTTCCCACTGACCACCAATGTAAGGGACATTCTTCCCACTGACCACCAATGTAAGGGACATTCTTCCCACTGATCACCAATGTAAGGGACATTCTTCCCACTGACCTCCAATGTAAGGGACATTCTTCCCACTGATCACCAATGTAAGGACATTCTTCCCACTGATCACCAATGTAAGGACATTCTTCCCACTGATCACCAATGTAAGGGACATTCTTCCCACTTATCACCAATGTAAGGAGCATTCTTCCCACTGACCACCAATGTAAGGGACATTCTTCCCACTGATCACCAATGTGTGGTGCATTCTTCCACTGACCACCAATGTAAGGAGCATTCTTCCCACTGATCACCAATGTAAGGGACATTCTTCCCACTGACCACCAATGTAAGGAGCATTCTTCCCACTGATCACCAATGTAAGGGACATTCTTCCCACTGATCACCAATGTAAGGAGCATTCTTCCCACTGATCACCAATGTGTGGTGCATTCTTCCCACTGACCCCCAATGTAAGGGACATTCTTCCCACTTATCACCAATGTAAGGGACATTCTTCCCACTGATCACCAATGTGTGGTGCATTCTTCCCAATGACCCCCAATGTAAGGGACATTCTTCCCACTTATCACCAATGTAAGTAATGACATTCTTCCCACTGATCACCAATGTGTGGTGCATTCTTCCCAATGACCCCCAATGTAAGGCGCATTCTTCCCACTGACCCCCAATGTAAGGGACATTCTTCCAATTGATCATTGATTAGCATTTGCTAATGTTGGTGAATTAAAAAAATAAGAATCAGAGGAAATACTTTCTGGCAAAATACATGTCTCACATTGTCCCTATGCTCAATGTTTTGTGTATTTCGGTTATGTGCGCTCTTTATTGTTTGTATATATGAATTCTGACATAGATCAGTGTGATATTGGATGGCTGTTCTGCTTGTGCTGGGGTACCCATTTCCTCTGAGTGTTGTCCATTCACCCCTCGCTGTTCTGTTTCAGGTAAGAAGATGATGCCGTTTGGCGGAATCGCGTCGAAGCTGAAGATCGATCGGCTGAAGGCAGATGGGGTGGGGTCACATGACCGCGCTGTGAAATACCTCAAACAGGATTATGATAGCCTGCGGCAGTCCTGTCTGGAGAATGGGACGCTGTTTGAAGACCCCCACTTCCCCGCCATCACCTCCTCCATGGGCTTCAAAGAACTGGGACCCGGCTCCAGCAAAGTGCAGGGAGTGCGGTGGAAGCGTCCCGGGGTGAGTGACTTTGCGCACACTCTCATTTGCTAAGATGGATTAAAAAAAGTGACCCCTACTGACTCGGGGGGAGATGTACTAAAAATGGTTCACTCTGGTGCAGCTGTTCATGGCAGCCAATCAGCTAACATCAGCTTGTTCAATGAAGCTTTGACAATAAAACCTGGAAGTTTAATCATTTTTATGCAGAGTTGCACCATATTTTGCATTCTCAGTTTAAGTAAATCTCCCCCAGTGCCTTCTCCGAGGGTACACCCCGGACGAGCCCCCAATTTCTTTTAATTTTGAATAGTGTAGAGCCCTGTCAGGTTTTTATTGGTGAAGAGATTCACCCTCTCTATTGGTCCTGGAGACTGTCACTAGAACATAAAGTGACTGGAAATCCAACATTTTTACAGTTGTCACCAGAAAAGAAGGTGAGGGGAAATCTTGCAATGAGAACACCTTTTAACTGTCTAAGAGGAGATTTCTTCTCACTGCCTGTTGAGTCTCCAGGGCAGGAAATGAAGTGAAATCTCTTAGATGCAACATATTACAAATAAAAAAATCTTACGGGATGTAACCCTTCCTCGTTCCAACCAAAAGCAAAAATGATGACTTTAGATTTCTTCAAGACTTCAGTGATGGATAGTGGACCTCATATCATTTTATTTCTCTCCAGGAAATTTCTGGCGATCCGCAGTTTATTGTAGGCGGAGCCACCAGGACTGATATCTGCCAAGGGGCGCTGGGTGAGTACACTGTGCTATTTACCCTCCAGTATTGCATGTGTGGGGAACATTTCCTGGGGCACAAGTCCTCAGTTAAAGGCTGAGTCCACCATGGGGTGCCTGCTCCAGCAGATTGAGTCCTACTGCTTATTCACCATTGTAATTCAACATTCTAGACCCCTCTAGATCAACAATATGGCCACTGCTCCCCCCCCCCTTTCTTTCTACATAGGCTGCAGCCAGGGGCGGACTGACAACTCATGGGGGCCCCCGGGGCAATAGGAAATCATGAGGCCCCTGTGTCCTCGCCAACACCTAAACCACACCCCAAAAAGCCTGTGAAAGGTATCAAGGGCATCTCATGGGGCCCCTTACTGACCCCAGGCCCTCGGGCAGTGCCCGAGTGCTGGAATGGTCAGTCCGCCCCTGGCTGCAGCATATCCAGCTGGGAGCACAGCATACAGCCATGCCAAAAATTCCAGCAGGGCACCAAGTCAGCCCTCACCCCCAATTATGAGTTGTCCTATTTTACCATTATGTGCACCCATAAGTCCTCACGCACACGGGACGTTTTGATAACTCTGGTAACGTTAGCTGTGTAAAGTCACGTTCAGGGGCGGACTGATAACTCATGGGGCCCCCGGGCAATAGGGGATCATGGGGCCCCTGTGTCCTTGCCCACACTCAAAGCACACCCAAAAAAGCCTATATAAAGGTACCAGGGGCATATCATGGGGCCCCCTACTGACCCCAGGCCCTCGGGCAATGCCCGAGCACTCGAATGGTCAGTCCGCCCCTGGTCACGTTAAACATTTTAGTTTTTTCTGCTTTCTTTAGCGTTTTTTTTTGCATTAACGTTTAGCGGAGTTTTACCACGATTAGCTGTGTTTTTCCGCATTCACGATTTTAGCGTTTTTTTTTTTTTATCAAAAAAATGTGTTTTTGGTCAAAAAAGTCCAAAATTGCTGGTTTGCAGCGTTTTACCACGTTTTTTGCCGTGTTTTTCAGCATTAGAGTGTTTTTTACAGCGAATAAATTCCTCCAGAAGCCCACTAGTCCTGGGTTTATTTTCCAGCCAAAAAACATTGATTCCAGTTGTTTCCAGTCTATTCCAGTGCACGGACACATAGGATATCATGCTGGGGGGGTTTACTGGCCGTAGAAAAAAACATTGAAACCCAAAAACAGCTGCTGTAAAAACGTCCTGTGTGCATGAGGGCTAATACAGGTGACTTGTAGGCCTTGCTCACATGGGTGGTCAAGTGGTCAGTAAACACAGGCAGTTGATCTGCCTTTTTACTACCCCCTGACCTCCCACTAAAACTGCCATTTGGGGGGTGGTATATATTGCCACAACTGCAATGCTCTTTGCAGCAAAATTATGCAGCAGCAGGGGTGGACTGACCATTTGGAAACTCGGGCACTGCCCGAGGGCCCAAGGTCAGTAGGGGGCCCCCATGAGATGCCCCTGATACCTTTTTCATAGGCTTTTTTGAGTTTGGGCAAGGACACGGGGCCCCATGATCCCCTACTGCCCGGGGCCCCATGAGTTATCAGTCCGCCCCTGTGCAGCAGGTTACATTCAACAGGCAATATCTCAAGGGAGTGGAATGGGTGAGGTCCAGCCATGTCCACCCTGCGGTATTTGGGGTGATCAATGACCAATATGTAAGAATAACCCCCCTTATATGTACATTGGGTTTCCCCTACTGCAATGCCCAGCATGTGCGGTCAGCTCTGTCCTGGTTCTGGATGAGGTTTGCAGTCCCAGCTTAGAGGCCGCTGCTAAGTATAGTGACAGGGATTGTCCGTAATCCTTAACCCCCACACTGCCAGTCTTTATCCTGTGTGAGTACAGAAATGAAGGCATGAAAGGATATATATATATATATAATGTGTGTATGTATATGTATATATATATATATATATATATATATATATATATATATATATATATATATTCTCCATCTGAACCACCAGTCATTAACATTTTATGAGTGCTTTAACACGTCACTCCTCCCCAAACCAATGGCTGAGCTTTGTGTGGATGTGGACCGAATGAGTCACCCACTGGCGTCTTTTGTCTTTTTGGATCTCCAGTGACGGGCTATAGAATACACAACATACTTTATCAATACATGCAAAGCGTTGTCTCTTTGGCACAATTTGCAAATCAAATATTACATTAAAATATGTTGAAATACATAAAGAATAATAAGATAGTGTTCGTTGTGTGACCCCTACAGGGGAAAGGGAGTATGACAGACCGGGGGCAACCTAGGGAGGCCGGATACACAGATCTGTTATTTATTCACTTGTACAGTATATCATTGAGGTATACAGTGATGATTTAACAGAGAACACTTAACCCTTTTATATCAGTCGCTGCACAAGAGGAGTTTACACGCTAATGTCACCCGAAAGTCATACATTTCTATTGCTCTGACATATAACTCAGTGCTGTATAGAGAACATCAGTCTCTGTACCAGAGGAGCTTACACTCTAATGTCCCCTCCCCCACAGTCACATCAGTCTCTGTACCAGAGGAGCTTACACTCTAATCTCCCCTCCCCCCCCCCCCCACCCCCCCCGCAGTCGCACAATATTATTATTATACATTTATATAGCTCTGACATATACCGCAGCGCTGTACAGAGAACACTGAGCCAGTCACATCAGTCTCTGTACCAGAGGAGCTTACATTCTAATGTCTTCTCCCCCACAGTCACATCAGTCTCTGTACCAGAGGAGCTTACACTCTAATGTCCCCTCCCCCACAGTCCCATCAGTCTCTACACCAGAGGAGCTTACACTCTAATGTCCCCTCCCCCACAGTCACATCAGTCTCTGTATCAGAGGAGCTTACGCTCTAATGTCCCCCCACAGTCAGACATTACTATTATACATTTCTTATAGCTCTGGCATATACCGCAGTGCTGTACAGAGAACACTGAGCCAGTCACATCAGTCTCTGTACCAGAGGAGCTTACACTCTAATGTCCCCTCCCCCCAGTCACATCAGTCTCTGTACCAGAGGAGCTTGCACTCTAATGTCCCCTCCCCCACAGTCACACACTATTATTATACATATATATAGCTCTGACATATATCGCAGTGCTGTACATAGATCACTGAGCCAGTCACATCCGTCTCTGTACCAAAGGAGCTTACGCTCTGTCTCTCCACAGTCACATGCTATTATACATTTCTATAGTTCTGACATATACCGCAGCGCTGTACAGAGAACACTGAACCAGTCCCCACATTTCCTGCACCAGAAGAGTTTACACATTTTAATACACTTAAAGTTCTTCTCCAAGTTCACAGTCTGAGATAACATATACAGTTTGTGTTTCCTGTAGGCAGTAGATTGGTTCTCCTCTCAGTGTGATCTTTATAGTAGTGGCAATACCCAGCACCCCTCCAAACCCCCATCTGTAATGGAATGTGATATATAAGTGATAAAATCTCAGGCAGGAAATATGTTGATCTGTGAGATGCATTTTGCGGCATTTTTCTTCCCTATGAAGAGACACGGTTATGGGAGTGAGAGTCAATAGAAGAGTCAAAGAAGAGCTCAGGACTGCTTCTATCTACCCTGGAGGCAATCTATCATGGGGATATATTTAGAGATCTGAACTTCTGTCTAAACTGGTGACCTGGATAACTTTCAGTCTTCTGTGAACCAACACCAACTGCATACGGAGTTCCAAAATGTCTAACAGTTATATATATATATATAAATAAGAATTCTCCTCCCGACCCAAAATCTTCCTGTGCTTGCTATCTTATCGGAGATCTTCCTGAGAACTCATGTCAATCATAATGGAGCGATGTTGAGAATTGAGCTTGGACATGGCTGGTGACCTTGAAGCATGGTGATACCACCAATGAATACTTTGGGGTTTCTGGTTTTAGGTATTTAGACTAATTTGCATAGCAGTTGCCTCCCTGCCAAAAATTTATTAGGGGTATCGTTAGAGATTTGAGTAGTTCAGGCATTAAAAAAAGAAGAGATTCTGGTTTAGCATGGAGTTTGAATCGTCTAACAAATTTATTCTAGGTGACTGTTGGCTCCTGGCTGCTATTGGTTCTCTGACGCTGAACGAAGATCTCCTGCACAGGGTCGTCCCCCATGGACAGAGCTTCCAGGAGAACTACGCCGGAATCTTCCACTTCCAGGTAGGTGGAGGGAATGTGAATTCATGGAGGCTCCATGAGTCTTCTAGTATAAATATTATCTGTCTTGATATTTCTACATTGTCTCCTGTCCACCGTATCTTCTACTAACCCCGTTGCGTTATTTCCTCCCCCCTCCAGATCTGGCAGTTTGGTGAGTGGGTGGACGTGGTGGTGGATGATCGCCTGCCGGTGAAGGATGGAGAGTTGGTTTTCGTACACTCTGCCGAGTGCTCTGAATTCTGGAGTGCCCTGCTGGAGAAGGCCTATGCCAAGTGAGTATGACATGGCTCATGAGTGCTAGCCTGTGCATTTGAATGGGGGAAGAGGAAGAATTTAAATCCTCTGGATGCGTCCATTAGTTCAAAGGAATGACATCCCATGTGATCCTCTGCTACATTACAATGCCGTCACACCATATGCCTCTGATATACCATAATATCGGCACCCTATGTGACCACCTGGTACAGTTTAATACAACCATTCCACACTTCCTCTAATATACAGTATATCATAACACTGCCTCTATGTGTGAGTCTTTGATACGTTGTAATGCAACCATACCACATTGCTTCTGATACTTATCAGAACGCAGACATCCTGTGTGACCACTTGGTACGTCGTAATACAACCACACCGCACTGCCTCTGGTATACCAAAATGCTAGCACTCCATAGGACCCTCAAGTAGCATTAAGAGGTGTGAAGTGTTACTAATGTAGCACCCTCCTAGTTAGTTCACTAGGGAGAGCTAGCAAAATTATTTTTTTTGATTGAGGGCTGAGTAGCAGCCTGGGTGATAGAGGTGTCAGATTTGGGTCAGGGCTGAGAGGCTCTGCAGATCAGCTCATGGATACCTCCCCCTGATCTAGAAACTTAGAGAAGTCTCTGGGGTGGGCTGGGGTGAGGAGTAGCTGGTCTGCACTCTTGAGGGATCCTGGCCAATCCCCAGGCAGGAGGCTTGGCATGGGGTCAGGACAGCCCTTAAGAGTGGAAGAGCCTGTTCAGAGGCAGGAAAGTTCAGGTGGAAGATGTGAGGAAGGCTGAGATGCAGGAGCCTGGGTGGGGGCCCAGTGGAAAGGGGACTACTTACAAATGCGGGGACCTGGAAAGGAGGATCACTCAGCCTCATCAGTCCCTGGAGGGATGACCACCTGTGGAGCCAGGGAAAGGAGCCAGCCCAGCAGAAGGCCTGAAGGCAGCCACCAACTCAACCAGCTCACAGGCAAGGACTGAGTAATCCTACACCTCCTGGGCCAGCTAAGGGGAAACAGCATTCTGGTGGGAAACCTGACTAGATTCTTACAAGGGACTGTTAAGTTTAAAGTGGCAGACACTGGATCTCCTTGCACAGGGATTCCTCCAGACAGCTGGGTAAATAAGAGGATTTATCTGGGGTCTGGGGTGGTACACCAGGAGAGGCTGGAGAGCTCTCCAAAAAGAGAAGTTCTGTCTTTGGATTTGTGTATAATTGCCAGGAAGTTGTCCTCTTGGGCATCCCATACACCCCTTACCCTATGCAAGTTCAATACCCCTAATAGAACTAAAAAGAAACAAGCTCAAGGACTGTGTTCTGTCTCTTGAATGCACGTCTGTGAAAATGTGTGTTGCCTGGCTGTGCAGGACTACAAGGGGACCCAAAACTTCAACTCCTAAAGAGGTAGTGCTACACTCCCAACCATCTCAATACACAGGGGAATGCTGATCTTGGGATCTAGGGGTCAAGATGTTTTTCCTCCATTCTCTCGACCAGTTTGGAGTTTGGGAAATGCAAAATGTTTGCATCATATTTTTTTCTAAGTATAGTTTTGATGGACCTGTGCCTTTGTTTTAGCCAACCTTAATATGGCGTTTTTCTCCCCATGGCCATTAACATGGAGTTGTACCCTCCCCTTCTCCATGGCCATTAATATGAAATTTCCCCCTTTATGGCTATAATATGCCCTACTTTTTCTGTGAAGGCTTTTCATAATATTTTGGAGGGTGTCTGTGGAAACTTGTGCCCATTTGTAAGGTCAGGCACTGATGTTGGATGACAAGACCTGGCTCACCATCGGCATTCCAATTCATCCTAAAGATATTCAGTAGGGTTGAGGTCAGGGCTTTGTACAGGACACTCGAGTTCCTCCACCCCAAACTGGTCAAACCATGTCTTTATGGAGGTGGCTTTGTACACAGGGGACAGTCATGCTGGAACAGAAAAAGGGTCTTCACCAATCTGTTAGCTCAAGGTTGGAGGAGCACAATTGTCTAATATGTCTTTGTATGATGTAGTAACTACCATTGGTAACATCTGAACACAATAAATTGGAGAAAGCTTTCCATACTATTGACCATGTAGTATATGTTACAATCCTGTTTTATATGGGCATGTTTGTGTGAGGTGTACATACGGTATAGAGGGATGTGGAATCACCTCTAATGTTGGTGCTCCTTGGGTTGTGTTGGGTTCTCAGCTCTTCTGGATGCTCATTGCCCCCCACCCCTGCAGACCCTGACATAGGGGCTGACACACTCTTTCTCTTCTGCAGACTGAATGGCTCTTATGAGGCTCTGTCAGGTGGCAGTACTACTGAAGGGTTTGAAGATTTCACAGGCGGTGTGGCCATCATGTATGAGCTGCGGAAAGCCCCCCGAGATCTGGACAAAATCATCAGTCGGGCACTGCAGCGAGGGTCCTTACTGGGCTGCTCCATTGATGTAAGAAACTGTCATTTGGGGACATTGTATATTGGGAGATACACATTATCCAATAATCCTGTTTATTATTTCCAATATTCCTTTATATTTATTTTTTTTTAAAGTAAATCAAAGTGGGTTTGGGGAACTATAATTTTACAACAATTTGAGTATTCGAACAACAAAAATATTTAATGAAATCTGAAATTTATGAAGAATTTATCAAAGTAGACCTGGGGAGTTGTTTCCTTATTGTATCAATTCTATTGCTAGCATTTATTTATAATTATATTTGTGATCTATTTTGTTCCATATCTAATTTTTCTTCTTCCTTTTTTTTTTTTTTTCCTTCCTTCAATGCCAAAAAAACTAAAGTTTTCAAAATACAATCCAAAATTTTAGTTGTCACCAGAAACGAAATGAAGGTGAGATCTTCCAGTGGGGACACCTGTGACAACTATGAGGGGATTTTTTTCTCTTCCTGTTCTGTGTCTGGGATAAGAAGTGGAAAAAAAACCTGATAGGAACACTAAGTGCAAGCAGGGAGACATGTAGAATATCTCTCTGGGAAATATATATTATAAACCTCTCTTGAAGGAAAAATGCCTTCCGAGTAAATGCTCCACGTATATATGTTTGCCCATAAAGAGAATTTTACGTCATAGGGCTGTAGTTGACCACTTGTCCTCTTGCTCAGATCACCAGTGCCTTCGACATGGAAGCCATAACCTTTAAGAAACTGGTGAAGGGCCATGCGTACTCCGTGACAGGTCTAAAAGAGGTGAGTTAGTTGGGTCACACTATGACCAGATAAAGGCAGAGCTCACCTGTGTATTCATGGCGGAGCCTTCTCCGTGGTCACCTGGCATCACATTGATTATTTCCCTTGCATCTCTGGCAGGTCAACTACCGGGGACAGACAGAGAAGCTGATCCGGATTCGAAACCCATGGGGGCAGGTGGAATGGACAGGAGCCTGGAGCGACAAGTGAGGGCACAATCCATCTATATCCTATTACAATGTTTCTGTGGTTGTGTAGACTTCCAGGAAGAGGAAATGTGTGAAATGCTGGATCCATTGAGCCTGTAGGCAAAAGTGGTAGTTTCATGGAATATTCAATTTTTCTAAAATCACTCCAGTCATCTCCAACCACTATGCTTTGGACCATGCCCCCCCTCCCCCCAAGGGTTAATTAACATATAAATGGAAGAGAATGTATTGGTTGCCAGGGTTGGCTTGGTTGGGAAGGGGGGACAGTTTTAGCACCCAAAGTAAGGGCCAAAGTGCACCCTCGTCACCCCCATGAGCTGTAAAATACTCCAGCAGCATAGGTTGCAGGTCCTGCCCTTTTTGCACCACCTTCTGCAGAAGTGCCCATGGCAGCCGCTTCTTCTGTCTCGACCAGGCCCTGAAGAGGATAGGGTTTTTTTTTTTCAAGAAAATTTCACCGAGGCAGCACATGAAAAAAATATTAGATGCTCATGTTTCTTATCCATGGTGAAACTTAGTCTGCTGAAAACAAATTAAAAACAGGGCAACTTAAAGAACATTCCTTCTCCAGCTTCCCTTCTTTTGAAAACAATGGATCATACCAGTTTTTGAGTGGTAGTCGTGGCAGAAGGTCTTTCCACACTGGACGACACTAATCAAAGGGACAAGTCTCCTCCTCTGGCATGCAGAGTGATTTAAAAAAGGCTAATTGAATGCTGATTCTCCCTGAGAAGAGTGCCAGGATGGGGATGATGGGAAAGAACCCATAGGCAAGAGAGGAGTATAATTCTGTTGGTTCTGGTCACGGCTGTGTAGTGCCATCAAGGACTGATGGAGCAGTGTTTGTAGCAATGCACATTCTGTACAGGTCTGGGAATGGACTTTAGGAACACTATAAGGGATCAGTTGTTACTCTATTCAATGGAGAAGATGGGACTTTCAGGGTGCATGAACATGAATACAAAACATATTAAAAAGTTATATAATTTTTATTTTGTATTTTTGTAAAAAGCACAAAAGGAAATAAAATACAGAAACATAAAAAACAATTTCAGTACTAAGAGTAAAACTGAGATACAAACTTGGTTATGTAATTGTAGTTACTCCCTACATGTTTCGCCCTCACAGGCTTCTTCAGGGGAGATTTTTTTTTAATTCTAGCGCCAAGGCAGTCTAGAGATATATCAAAGAAAAATTATACAATTATCAAACAACTTTAATATATCCAATACAGAGTATTTAATCAAGTGTGTGTGATACATATATATTATATATTTTATATATATATATATATATATATATATATATTTGGAACTCAATGGTTCAACCTGGATGTGAAAGCTCACGGAGCTAGGAGAAAATGACCTAAAAAAGATCTTAATTGGCCTACATGTCCCACCTCTGGCATGCAGGGTGATTTGAAATAGGCTAACTGAATGCTGATTCTCCCTGAGAAGAGTGCCAGGATAGGGATGATAGGGAGGAACCCATAGGCAAAAGAGTATAATTCTGTTGGTTCTGGTCACGGCTGTGTAGTGCCATCCAGGACTGATGGAGTAGTGTTTGTAGCAATACACATTCTGTACAGGTCTGGGAATGGGCCTTAGGAACACTGTAAGGGATCATTTTTTACTCTGTTTCAGCCCCGAACACTCATAATGATTAAGGCCCAGAGTGTTTGAGGCTGAAATGCGTCAATCTTTTTACATGATGGATTTCATTATGTCTTGATGGATTACAAATGAAGTCTACCACAATCTTATCTCGTATCGTATTTCCTGGCATAGACCATACAACCTTATCCCACAAACATTGAAAAAAAATAGGGTTTGCAACGCCGTGGACTCTTTTTCAGTACTAGTTATAACTCTGTGGTGGGTTATGATGGGATCTGATGGATGGGGAAGATTATTGCTTCTGGAGAGAGCAGACTGTGATGTACAGTGATAATCCCCCTTTACCTGACTTCTCTCTTCTCTGATCTCAGCTCCTCGGAGTGGAACGAGGTGGATCCTTCTGAGCGTGAAGACCTCCGCCTGAAGATGGAGGATGGAGAGTTCTGGTGAGTTGTTGCTGGGGATGTCTGAGATGTCTATATTGGGCAGGGGGGGGGGGGGGGGGGTTGTCAGTGTAGATGACTTAATTTGGAAAGGTTTCTCTCAACAAAATTAAAAACTTTGTTTATCCCCCATTCTTGTCCTGTGCCCCCTTTCCTCTTGCATTCTGCATGTTCTTCCCCCTTGTTTTTGTCTTACATTGGCTCTGTCCCCTCTCATCCTTGGTTTTCTATGTCACCTCTTGTCCTCCACCCCCTCTCTTCTCCCCTCATCCTGCGCTCCCTCTCTTCTCCCCTCGTCCTATGCTCCCCTCTCTTCTCCCCTCGTCCTACGCTCCCTCTCTTCTCCCCTCGTCCTACGCTCCCTCTCTTCTCCCCTCGTCCTACGCTCCCTCTCTTCTCCCCTCGTCCTACGCTCCCTCTCTTCTCCCCTCGTCCTACGCTCCCTCTCTTCTCCCCTCGTCCTACGCTCCCTCTCTTCTCCCCTCGTCCTACGCTCCCTCTCTTCTCCCCTCGTCCTACGCTCCCTCTCTTCTCCCCTCGTCCTACGCTCCCTCTGTCCTCTCCTGATCCTGCACCCCCCTGCTCTGTCCTTCCATCATGCCCTTTCCCCACCAGGATGTCTTTCCAGGAATTCCTACGCCAGTTCAATCGGCTGGAGATCTGTAACCTTACCCCCGATGCGCTCAACAAAGATGATGTCAGCAAATGGCACACAACGCTGTATGATGGCTCATGGCGAAGGGGCAGCACTGCTGGTGGTTGCAGGAATAATCCAGGTACGTGGACTTTTTGGTATTAAGAGGCCTCCACTTTTTTATTGTCAGTCAGGCAGGTTTATTCAGTTGCCCTCCCATGTGACAACTATGTTGTTGTTTTTTTATTTATTTATTCCAGCTTTCTTCTTTTACATCAGAGATACCCTCTCTGTGAATATCACCCAACATGTAGGCCATGTAAAATTCCATCAGGAATGCTGGAACAAACAATCCTCTACATAGGATAGGGATATGTATAAAGAAAGGTTTTAGCAGAATGAATGTAGCTGCAATATGACTGGCTTTGCCTTTAATGAAAACTCTGTGTTTTCCATTGTAACCTTGAAGACCACCCTAATTCCAGCTTTCTCAGCCATGAACGTTCCAGGCATGGACAGTTGGCAGGCAGCAAATCTCAGGTGGCAGCTACTGGACTGTGGAAGGTGTCCTCTGGGTTTGAAAGTCTTCCAGGACCTGTGTCACAGTTGGGAGGACACTGGATGTGGATCTTATGGCTTCAAGTTCAACAAGTTGAACAAACTGTGACCCAATGGCCAGATGCAGCTTTTATCTGGCCCTTGGGGCAATATTACATCCATTGATTCCAACAATGGGGCATAATTCCCCCCACTCGCACCAATGAAGGGGCGTAATTCTCCCCACTGACACAAATGAGGGGGCACAGTTCCTCCCGATGACATCAACAATGGGGACCAATAGCACCAATGATGGGGCACAATTCCTCCCAATGTTGCCAGTGACAACAATGGGGCACAATTTCTCCCAGTGACATCAATGATGGGGCACGTTTCCTCTTGGTGACCCCAATGATGAGGTACAATTCCTCCCAATTATACCAACGATGGGACAATATTCTTCCCACTGACACCAAAGATGGGGCATTGTTTTTTTCCACTGTCGCCTGGACCTTTTTTACTCCCAGTGGTCAAAGTCCCACCTCCCTAAAGTCTGAAGGACAGTAAACTGGTCCTTAGAAAGTTTGGAGACCCCTACTCTAGTGGAAACAGTGGATATTCTGTTGTTTCTGTGGAATCTGTAAACCTTGATCTATACCTTTTCTTCCCCTGAACATTTTTTGTTGTCTTTTCAACAGGATCAAAATGGAGGGTATTCTTGTTATCCTCCTTGTTCAAGATTGTAAGACTCCTTGCAGATGTACATGGGCCCTGCCAGGCCACCCAAATCTACTGCCCCAAGGGCTGATTTGCCATTCTGCTCTATATTCACTGGATTTAATGGCTTGGCGGTTAAAGCCCAGGTTTTGGAGGAAAAGGGCAGCTTTGAAGTTGATGATTCCTACAATGCTCAAAGGCTAGCAAGTCCGCTTTCCAAAAGGTCTATCTATTGAAAGGCTTACTTCACTTGGTGGGAGTCTAGAGCTTTCATCTCAGGAAAATCTGTCTGAGATGAATTGTCTCCTTCTAGGATCTGGGTCTGAACCACCATTTAGTTCTTGGCACTATTATAGGTCAGGTTTCTGCTCTTTCAATTCTATTTCATACACCATTAGCCTCTCACTTCTTAAATAAAGACCTTTTGCATAGGGGGTCTCCTGTGTAGCTTTTCTTGAACATTCCCCTTTGACTCTTTGGGATCTAAATCTGGTCCTTTCTGCATGTAGGTAACCACCATTTGAACCCATTAGAGACATTCTCCTTTTTACTCCCACTCATAAGGTGGTATTTCTTGTAGACCTCAACTTTGCAAGGTGAATGTCTGAACTGACTGCATTAACATGCTTAAGGAGAAGGTGGTGCTGAGGCCCAGGACTTCCTTCTTGCCCAGGGTAGTTTCTGCCTTTCACCCCAAGCAGAACATTGTCCTCTATTCCCCCCCCCCCCCCCCCCCCCCCACTTGTCAGGCTGTAATTCATCAAAAGGAAATTTCCATCCATTGAATGGATATGGTTTGAAATATGGGAGTCTGTTTCTCAGGCATCACTTCTTTCAGAAAGACTGATTACCTTTGTTTTCATTCCAAATGGTCCCTGGAAGGATGCCCCAGATTTATTGCTCCAACATTTGTAGATGGCTCAGTCAGACCATTGCTGAAGTTTATGGTCTTTAGGATCAGGTTCCCCCCCCCTTTTCTGTTAAGGCGCATTCTACTGGATCTTTAAATGCCTCCTGGGCTTTTTGACATCAGGCTACTGGTGCCTATATTGGCAAGGTTGCCACCTGGTCTTCTATTCACATGTTCTAACAGATGGTTATTTCTGCTTCATCTGAGTCCCATGTGTTACATGTATTGCTACTTTTGGATCTCTCACCTGGTTACCACAAATTTCTGCTTTCAGCCACATTCTGGATCAATCCTCAGTTTAAGGTTACACTGCTGGAGGAGGACGATGACCCGGATGATAATGAGTTGGCCTGCAGCTTCCTTGTCGCCCTCATGCAGAAAAACCGCAGGAGGGAGCGGAAGGTCGGAGGTGACATGCACACGATTGGTTTTGCTGTGTATGAGGTGGGTATAATAAGAGTGGATTTCAGATGATGGGGGAATTAAGAAAGTGGGGTGGGGGGTAGGTGAGTGGTTAAAAACCTGATGTATGAGGTGGCTAATAGTCCGTGTATAAGTGGGTCTGTGTACATCTGTGAAGGGTTTTCAATGGGGGGTTCCAGGTGAGGGGTGTAATACTTTGTATAAGGTGTGGGTGTGAAGGCCTATAGAGTGTCCCAGGGACGGATAAATGCTCTGTATATGAAATAGGTGTTCAAGTGTCTGTAGAGGGTTCCTGCGCATTATAGAGTTGGATGATCCAGTATTGTAAACACTGCATTGTGTGAATTCATAATGTGAACATTGTATGAAATCACCGGACCTTTCACTTCTGTAACTTTGTCTCTTCTCTCTTCTATTCCTTTCAGGTGCCAGATGAGGTACGTACACTTCATTTCTAAAATAGTTTTCAAACATGACTTTGGGTTTTTCTTTTGGCCATCTGAGTGGAATGCCTAATTAACTGGTGGTGAGGTAGCCCTAGAAAGAGCAGATAGACAGGTAGGTGGAGCGATGGAAAGGTAGGTATCAGTGGGTAAGTACATAGGGTGGTCTGCAGAGGTTGGAGAGACAAAAAGGTAACAGATTTGTGAGCACTCAGGTCTACTAGAGAAAACAGTAATGGAGGTGGGTCTGGGTAAGGAAGATCAGAAGAAGGGCAGGTTTGGGGAAGGTGGACTAGAGTTGAGACTGGTCTGGGGAAGACTGACTGGAGGGGAAACTGGTCTGGGGAAGACTGACTGGAGGGGAAACTGGTCTGGGGAAGACTGACTGGAGGGGAAACTGGTCTGGGGAAGACTGACTGGAGGGGAAACTGGTCTGGGGAAGACTGACTGGAGGGGAAACTGGTCTGGGGAAGACTGACTGGAGGGGAAACTGGTCTGGGGAAGACTGACTGGAGGGGAAACTGGTCTGGGGAAGACTGACTGGAGGGGAGACTGGTCTGGGGAAGACTGACTGGAGGGGAGACTTGTCTGGGGAAGACTGACTGGAGGGGAGACTGGTCTGGGGAAGGTGGACTGGAGGGGAGACTTGTCTGGGGAAGACTGACTGGAGGGGAGACTGGTCTGGGGAGGACTGACTGGAGGGGAGACTTGTTGGGGAAGACTGACTGGAGGGGAGACTTGTCTGGGGAAAGTGAACTGGAGAGGGACTGGTCTGGAGTAGATGGACAAAAGAGGAGTTTGGTCAGGTGAAACTAGACAGGATAGGAGGTGGGCCTGTAAATGTCAGACTGGCATAGAGGCTGGTCTGGGGAAGGTGGACAGAAGCAAATTATGTCTGGGTAAGGTGGCCAGGAATGTGTGGGGAAGGCAGACAGAAGGGCAGGCTTGAGTGCAGATCAGAGGAAGGGCAGGTCTGGGGACAGTGGACTAGAGTTGAGACTGGTCTGGGGAAGACTGACTGGAGGGGAGACTGGTCTGAGGAAGACTGACTGGAGGTGAAACTGGTCTGAAGAAGACTGACTGGAGGGGAGACTGGTCTGAGGAAGACTGACTGGAGGGGAGACTGGTCTGAGGAAGACTGACTGGAGGGGAGACTGGTCTGAGGAAGACTGACTGGAGGGGAGACTGGTCTGAGGAAGACTGACTGGAGGGGAGACTGGTCTGAGGAAGACTGACTGGAGGGGAGACTGGTCTGAGGAAGACTGACTGGAGGTGAAACTGGTCTGAGGAAGACTGACTGGAGGGGAGACTTGTCTGGGGAAGACTGACTGGAGGGGAGACTTGTCTGGGGAAGACTGACTGGAGGGGAGACTGGTCTGGGGAAGACTGACTGGAGGGGAGACTTGTCTGTGGAAGACTGACTGAAGGGGAGACTTTTCTGGGGAAAGTGGACTGGAGTGGGACTGGTCTGGAGTAGATGGACAAAAGAGGAGTTTGGTCAGGTGAAACTATAGAGGATAGGAGGTGGGCCTGTAAAAGGCAGACGGGCATAGAGGCTGGTCTGGGAAAGGTGGACAGAAGCAAATTATGTCTGGGTAAGGTGGCCATGAACGTGTGGGGAAGGCAGACAGAAGGGCAGGCTTGTATGGTGAAGGTGGGCAGGAGGGCAGGCTTGTGTGCGGAAGGCAGACAGGGGTAGGCTCGTGTGGTGAAGGCGGACAGGAGGGTAAGCTTGTGTGATGAAGGCAGACCAGAGGGCAGCTTCCTGTGGCGATGGCAGACCAGAGGGCAGGTTCCTGTGGGGAAGGCAGATGGGAGCAGGCCCGTGTGAGGAAGGCAGCCAGGGGGGAGCAGGCCTTTGTGGGGAAGATGGACAGGAGGGCAGACTTGTGTGGGGAAGGTGGACAGGAGGGCAGACTTGTGTGGGGAAGGTGGACAGGAGGGCAGACTTGTGTGGGGAAGGTGGACAGGAGGGCAGACTTGTGTGGGGATGGTGGACAGGAGGGCAGACTTGTGTGGGGAAGGTGGACAGGAGGGCAGACTTGTGTGGGGAAGGTGGACAGGAGGGCAGACTTGTGTGGGGAAGGTGGACAGGAGGCAGACTTGTGTGGGGAAGGTGGACAGGAGGGCAGACTTGTGTGGGGAAGGTGGACAGGAGGGCAGACTTGTGTGGGGAAGGTGGACAGGAGGGCAGACTTGTGTGGGGAAGGTGGACAGGAGGGCAGACTTGTGTGGGGAAGGTGGACAGGGGGGTAGGCATGTGTGGGGAAGATGGACAGGAGGGAAGACATATATGGGGAAGGTGAACAAGAGAGCAGGCTCATTTGTGGAAGGTGACATGACAACAGGCAGGTCTGGGGAAGGCAGACAGTAGGGCAGACTCCTCTAAGGATGGTGACGGGAGCACAAGCATATCTGGGACTTGAGGGCAAGGAGTTCTAGGGAAGGTTGATAGAAGATAATGATGTCTGGGGAAGGTAGGCGGGATTGCAGGCTCATCTGAGGAAGGCAGGCGGGATTGCAGGCTCATCTGAGGAAGGCAGACAGGAGGGCAGGCTCATCTGAGGAAGGAGGACAGGCTCTTCTAGGGAAGGCAGACAGGAGGGCAGGCTCATCTGAGGAAGGTGGACAGGAGGGCAGGCTCATCTGAGGAAGGTGGACAGGAGGGCAGGCTCATCTGAGGAAGGCGGACAGGAGGGCAGGCTCATCTGAGGAAGGCGGACAGGAGGGCAGGCTCATCTGAGGAAGGCGGACAGGAGGGCAGGCTCATCTGAGGAAGGCGGACAGGAGGGCAGGCTCATCTGAGGAAGGCGGACAGGAGGGCAGGCTCATCTGAGGAAGGCGGACAGGAGGGCAGGCTCATCTGAGGAAGGCGGACAGGAGGGCAGGCTCATCTGAGGAAGGCGGACAGGAGGGCAGGCTCATCTGAGGAAGGCGGACAGGAGGGCAGGCTCTTCTAGGGAAGGCATACAGGACAGAAGGTGAATTTTTAGGAAAGCAATGGGGGTGTCATAGGTCTGTAACAGGGGTTACAGCAGGAGAATTAGGTCTGTGAAGGACAGATGGGTGGTAGAGGTAGGTGAGTACACTGTCATCAGTAAGTTGGTGTTACTGCACTTTTGTTGAAGGGAATGTATGCTCTGTGTCTGCTTGGACACTTCTAGGTTAGATCAGATCTCGCATCATTCCACCTTCCATGAATCAAAGTAAGCTAAATAAACCAATCAGATTCAGAATTTCAGATTCAAGCTGTTGATATGGAAACTCTGGTAGTTGGGGGAAGCTGATACATTTTCTTTTCAGTTTAATGAGTTGTTCTTATCTTTTCCCTTTCTGTAGTTTAAAGGTTGCCAAAATGTCCACCTCAAGAAGGATTTCTTCCTCCGTCACCAGTCCTGCGCCCGCTCAGAAACTTTCATCAACCTGCGAGAAGTCAGCAACCCAATTCGCCTGCCCCCTGGAGAGTATATCATCGTCCCCTCAACGTTCGAGGCACACAAAGAGGGCGACTTTGTGATGCGAATATTCACAGAGAAGCATTCAGATATCCAGTGAGTGTGCGGAGCTGTCTCCTCTGTACTGCCAGATGAAACTCTGATCCAATGACTCCAATTATATGCCAGCATGTAATAGATCAATAGCCAATACGATTAGCTAATATGGCTTAATGCATTAAATTGGCTTTAGAGATGGGAACGTGGACACAACGTAAGGCGTGCACCAGAACTCCTAAGCTACTATGTATGTTTAAAATCCTACCAGCCAAAGTTTCAAACAACCTGGCAGTGGAATTGGTTTCAGTGGCAACTAAAATGAGGAAGAAGGAAAAAGCTTCAGTGACCGACAAAAGCTTCTGCGGGCAGTCTGTCTGTCCAGGGTTGCACATTCAGCAATAGATTTTCTTTGTTTTTTGCCTCTGTAAAATATTGTGTGGGGGTGATGGTAGAAATTGGGAAAGCAGAGTTCTTCCTAAATTCCATTTGTTCTGTTTAGGGAGCTCGATGATGAAGTCACTGCAGATCTACCTGACCAGGTAAGAGACTCCAGTACAAGGAATTGATCATTTGTATTGCATTTAGACAAATATGATGGCAATATACAACACATATACCATGTCCCCAAAGAGCTTACACTCTAATGTCCCCACCATAGTCACACATTATTATTACTAACTGTTATTATGCATTTATAAAGCGCTGACATATTCCGCAGTGTTGTACAGAGACCACTGAACCATTCACATTAGCCGACATACCAGAGGAGTTTACGCTCACATGCCCTACCAAAGTCACACATTGCTATATAATTATTTTTCTTTCAGGTTTGATAAATATGTTCCCCTTTTTAATTTTACAATTGCCCCTCCGGCTATTTGTGGCTGTTTGTGATTCTGAGCCTTCACCATGTCCATTTGTTAGTTCAAGTTAATTTTGCCAGTCAGGATATCCTTTGATGCACTGACACATGGTGACAGATAGGGGGCAGCAGAGCTCAGTGTCTGTACATTGGGGTAGAATATGGAGGTGGCATCACACCTGAAGTATCTGGTGGCCTTGTGTCTTCTCAGGAACAGCTCACAGAAGATGATGTGGAAGATTCTTTCAAGTCTATGTTTCGGCAGCTGGCAGGAGATGTGAGTTAACTGGTGGAGATAATCTGACAAATCAGATGTGTGGAAGGGTTATAACCATCATAACCAGTCTGTAATTATAATAAAATCTGTTTGTTTTCTCCACTAAGGATATGGAGATCAGCGTTTTTGAGCTGAGGACCATCCTCAACAGAGTGGTGGCCAGACGTAAGTGGAAGATGGGCTCCTGGGAGGCAGAATGGAGCAGGTGTCTGGGGGTACGGTATAGTGGGTCAGGTGTCTGAAGATATGGTATAGTGAGTCAAGTGTCTGAGGATATGGTGGTGAGTCAAGTGTCTGAGGATATGGTGGTGAGTCAAGTGTCTAAGGCTATGGTGTGGTGGGTCAGGTCTATGGGGATATGGTATCGTGGCTCAGGTGTCTGGGGTAAAGATACGATAGGTCTGATGTCTGGGAAAATGGCATGGTAGGTCAGGTATCTAGGGATATGGTAGGATGGTTCAAGTGTCTGAGAATATGGTTGGATGGGTCAGGTGTCAGGGAATATGGTAGGATTGTTTAGGTGTCAGGGAATATGGTAGAATGGTTCAGGTGTCAGGGAATATGGTAGGATGGTTCAGGTGTCCGGGAATATGGTAGGATGGTTCAGGTGTCAGGGAATATGGTAGGATGGTTCAGGTGTCCGGGAATATGGTAGGATGGGTCAGGTCTCTGGGAATTTGGTAGGATGTGTCAGGTATCCGGGAATATGGTAAGATGGGTCAGGTGTTGGGGAATATGGTAAGATGGGTCAGGTGTTGGGGAATATGGTAGAATGGTTCAGGTGTCCGGGAATATGGTAGGATGGGTCAGGTGTCCGGGAATATGGTAGGATGGGTCAGGTGTCAGGGAATATGGTAGGATGGTTCAGGTGTCCGGGAATATGGTAGGATGGTTCAGGTGTCGGGGAATATGGTAGGATGGGTCAGGTGTCCGGGAATATGGTAGGATGGGTCAGGTGTCCGGGAATATGGTAGGATGGGTCAGGTCTCTGGGAATTTGGTAAGATGGGTCAGGTGTCCGGGAATATGGTAGGATGGGTCAGGTGTCCGGGAATATGGTAGGATGGGTCAGGTCTCTGGGAATTTGGTAGGATGGGTCAGGTCTCTGGGAATTTGGTAGGATGGGTCAGGTATCCGGGAATATGGTAAGATGGGTCAGGTGTTGGGGAATATGGTAAGATGGGTCAGGTGTTGGGAATATGGTAGAATGGTTCAGGTGTCCGGGAATATGGTAGGATGGGTCAGGTGTCAGGGAATATGGTAGGATGGTTCAGGTGCCCCGGGAATATGGTAAGATGGGTCAGGTGTCTGGGAATTTGGTAGGATGGGTCAGATGTCGGGAATATGGTAGGATGGGTCAGGTGTCGGGGAACATGGTAGGATAGGTCAGGTGTCCGGGAATATGGTAGGGATGCGTCAGGTGTCCGGGAATATGGTAGGATCGGCCAGTTGTCTGGGGATATGGTATGGTGGGTCAGGTGTCTGTGGCTATGGTACAGTGAGTCAAGTGTATGGGATGGTGGGTTAGGTGAATGGACATGTGATATGGTGGGTCAGGTGTCTGGAAATATGGTAGGATGATTCAAGTGTCTGGGGATATGGTATGGTGGCTCAGGTGGCTGTGGTACAGTGAGTCAAGTGTCTGGGGATATGGAATGGTGGGTCAGGAGAATGGACATGTGAAATGGTGGGTCAGGTGTCTGGGTATATGGTATGGTGGGACAGCTGCCTGGGATACAGTACAGTGGGTCAGGGGTTCAGGAATATGGCACAGTGGTTTCAGGTGAACAGAAATATGGAACAATGGTTCAAGTGCTCTGGGACAGAGTATGAGATGGCAGGTCTGCTGTTCATTGATAAAGTATGGTGGGTCAGGGTTCTGGGGATGTGGTACAGAGGGCCAGATGTCTGGGCTCGTGATATGGTGAGGTGTCCAGGGATATGCTATGGTGGGTCAGGTATCCAGTGATGTGGTACAGTGAGTCAGGTTTTCTGGGACAGTGGGCCAGGTTTCTTGGTATATGGTATGGTGTATCAAGGGTCCAGGGTCATGGAATGTTGAGTTGGGTGTCTATGGATATTGTATTTTGTCTCTGGGGTAGGGATAGATCATTAGTAGTCCCTTCTTACCATATATCTTCCTTCCTCCCCAGACAAAGACCTGAAAACCGATGGCTTCAGTATGGAGTCCTCCAGACAGATGGTCAGCCTGATGGATGTATCCTTCTTCCACCATTCTATGACATTTCATTGTTAGCGGATTCTTGCTTTAGAATCAAACATACCATTTACAGGTGAAACTCGAAAAATTAGAATATCGTGCAAAAGTTCATTTATTTCAGTGCAGCAACTTAAAAGGTGAAACTAATATATGAGATAGACTCATTACATGCAAAGCAAGATAGTTCAAGCCGTGATTTGTCATAATTGTGATGATTATGGCTTACAGCTCATGAAAACCCCAAATCCACAATCTCAGAAAATGAGAATATTACATGCAATCAATAAAACACGGATTGTACATAGAACAATATCGGACCTCTGAAAAGTAGAAGCTGCATATGTACTCAGTACTTGGTTTGGGCCCCTTTTGCAGCAATTACTGCCTCAATGCGGCGTGGCATGGAAGCTATCAGCCTGTGGCACTGCTGAGGTGTTATGGAAGACCAGGATGCTTCAATAGCGGCCTTCAGCTCTTCTGCATTGTTCAGTCTCATGTCTCTCATCTTTCTCTTGGCAATGCCCCATAGATTCTCCATGGGGTTCAGGTCAGGCGAGTTTGCTGGCCAATCGAGCACAGTAATCCCATGGTCATTGAACCAAGTTTTGGTGCTTTTGGCAGTGTGGGCGGTGCCAAGTCCTGCTGGAAAATGAAGTCAGCATCCCCATAAAGCTGGTCTGCAGAAGAAAACATGAAGTGCTCCAAAATCTCCTGGCAGACGGCTGCGTTGACCCTGGACTTAATGAAGCACAGTGGACCAACACCAGCAGATGACATGGCTCCCCAAATCAGCACAGACTGTGGAAACTTCACACTGGACTTCAAGCATCTTGCAGTGTGTGCCTCTCCATTCTTCCTCCATACTCGGGGTCCTTGGGCCTCTCCATTCTTCCTCCATACTCTGGGTCCTTGTGCCTCTCCATTCTTCCTCCATACTCTGGGTCCTTGGGCCTCTCCATTCTTCCTCCATACTCGGGGTCCTTGGGCCTCTCCATTCTTCCTCCATACTCGGGGTCCTTGGGCCTCTCCATTCTTCCTCCATACTCGGGGTCCTTGGGCCTCTCCATTCTTCCTCCATACTCGGGGTCCTTGGGCCTCTCCATTCTTCCTCCATACTCGGGGTCCTTGGGCCTCTCCATTCTTCCTCCATACTCGGGGTCCTTGGACCTCTCCATTCTTCCTCCATACTCGGGGTCCTTGGACCTCTCCATTCTTCCTCCATACTCGGGGTCCTTGGGCCTCTCCATTCTTCCTCCATACTCCGGGTCCTTGGTTTCCAAATTAAATGCAAAAGTTGCTCTCATCAGAAAAGAGGACTTTGGACCACTGAGCAACAGACCAGGTCTGTTTTTCTTTAGCCCAGGTAAGATGCCCATGTCCAGGATCCATCTGTGTGTGGTGGCTCTTGATGCACTGACTCCAGCCTCAGTCCACTCCTTGTGAAAGACCCCAACACTTTTGAATGGCCTTTTCCTGACAATCCTCTCCAGGCTGCGGTCATCCCTGCTGCTTGTGCACCTTTTTCTTCAACACTTTTCCCTTCCACATAACTTTCTATTAATGTGCTTTGATACAGCACTTTGGGAACATCCAACTTCTTTTGCAAATTACCTTTTGAGGCTTTCCCTCCTTTATGGAGGGTGTCAGTGATGGTGTCAGGTCAGCAGTCTTTCCCATGATTGTGATTCCTACTGAACCAGACTGAGAGACCATTTAAAGGCTCAGGAACCCTTTTGTAGGTGTTATGGCTGAATGAGCTGATTAGAGTGGGACACTTTGAGCCGAGAATATTCCACCTTTTCACAATATTCTCATTTTCTGAGATTGTGGATTTGGGGTTTTCATGAGCTGTAAGCCATAATCATCACAATTATGACAAATCACGGCTTGAGCTATCTTGCTTTGCATGTAATGAGTCTATCTCATATATTAGTTTCACCTTTTATTGCATTACTGAAATTAATGAACTTTTGCACACGATATTCTAATTTTTTTGAGTTTCACCTGTAGTTTCAGCAACATACTACCATTGTTTCCTGTGAATGCTATGTGTTCGGTGTTCCCTTTAGGATTTGTATTAGTATATATAGCAGATCCTTAACTCTCTCCTTACAGAAAGATGGCAGCGGGAAACTAGGCGTTGTGGAGTTTCAGGTTCTGTGGAATAAGGTCCGAAACTGGCTGGTAAGAGCCACTAGAGAGAGTCC